GTCGAATATGGAGATTTGAAGGCTTTAACGGGCGATAATTCATCAGACGCCGTCAGCTTTCTGGTAAAGACATTGGGTAGTTTGGTGGCGGTTCACGGTGGCAGAGTCTGGTTGATTGGATCTGCAGAAAGCCATGAGACTTGTATGCACTTTTTCAAGAAATTTCCTACCGTTGAAGAAGAATGGAACCTCCATGTTCTTCCTATCAATTCAATCGGACCTGGCATGGCTGAAACATTCCCAAAATCCAGGTGAAACTTCGAATAATCAGTCTCAAACGATCCAAATTCTATTATATATTATATAAAGTACACTCTAATTTTTTAATCATGATCTGCATGTTGGTATATATTTGCAGCCTATTGGAGTCATTTGTTCCATTTGGAGGATTCTTTTCCATGCCATCTGATATCAGGACTCCATTAAGGTTCTCAAACCATTCTGGATCTCTATGTCACATTTGTGATGACAAGCTTAAGCTAGAAGTAAATGCTATTTCTAAAGAACGACTAAATGAGTCGGTTTCAGACCATTATCGATCATCCTTACCTTCTTGGCTACAAACTTCTCAACTTAGCGCAAACCCCGAATCGGATATCGTGCAAACCCAAGACGATCCTGTTATATTGAACGCCAAAGTTGTCGGCCTGCAAAAGAAATGGCAGAGCATCTGTCAGCGTCTTCATCATTACGAACCTTACATGCAGATGTTACCTAAAGCAACATACACTGTCGGACCACGTGTTCCTTCTGTCGTAGGCTTTCAAGTCCTCGAAACCACCAATCAAAACACATCTTCGATCGAAAGCCAATCCGATGCAATTTCAAATCCAAACTCCCGAATCGTTAAAGATTCACCAATCGTCTCCACCCTTTCAGCATCAAGTGATCGTTCCGTGACAACTGATCTGGGATTGGGGGTAAACCTTACTTCATCCTCATTCGATCTGAAAGATTCTAAATTGATGCATTCTTCCATGTTGAAAAGGGTTGGCAGACAAGAAGAGGCTCTTGGTGTCATTACTCAAACCATAGCTCGTTGCAGAGCTCAACCGGCACCCAATCGAGGTGGCATCTGGTTCGGTTTTGTTGGACCGGATAGAGTTGCCAAAAACAAAACCGCTACCGCTCTTGCTGAAATATTGCTGGGTGACAGGGAGAACATGATCTGTATCGATCTAAGCAGTCAAGATTTCATCAACGGTTGTGATCGAAAGTCAAGAGGGAAAAACGTGATCGATTTCATCGCAGATGAAATTTCAAAAAAACCATTATCGATTGTTTTCCTTGAAAACATCGATAAGGCTGATGCATTAACTCAACAACATTTGTCCCGAGCTGCATGCACTAGGAAATTTTCAGACTCCCATTTCAGGGAAGTAAGCATCAGCAATGCGATCTTTGTGTTGACTTCAAAATTATTTGGACACGATCTTGAGGGTGTTGACTATACCGAGGAAAATGTTTTAAACAGTGGACACGGGTCCATTCGCGTGTCGATTGGGTTTGACCTCGGTGAGATGAAACCGAGCCCAGAAGTGGTGCGGGTTAACCGACCCGGGTCACCGGTTTGCAAGAACAAGAGGAAGCTCAACGGTGGCTTGGAGGCTGCAAAACGTGGCTACCGGACCACCACGAACAACCTCTACCTGGATTTGAATCTGGTGGCGGAAGACAGTGATCCTGCTCTTGAAAACTCGAATTCATGGTTGGAAGATCTTCTTGAGAATGTGGATGAAAAGGTGGTTTTTAAACCGTTTGATTTCGATGAAATTTCCGAGAAGATTGTGAAGCGAATTGGTGATTGTTTTGTGAAAGTTGTCGGGTCGGATTGTTTGCTAGAAATTGATTATAGATTAATGGAGCAGATTCTTAAAGCTTCGTGTTTTCTGGAGATGACAAAAATGGAGGATTGGATCGAGCGGATTCTAGGGGAAGCATTTGCTAGAGCTCAGAGAAAGTACGGACTTGGTTCTAACTCTGTCATGAAGCTTATGGTGGCTGAGCTGCTGGAGGAGCAGCCTGCCGGAGTTCTCCTTCCTGATTCTATCATAATGACATGATGAAGTGTATAATTTAGCAACTTAGTGTTAGTAAATAGAGTTATTTGGACTTTTTTTTTGACGTTTCTTCTAGTGTTGGGGTTGTGAAAACAGTTTCTTTGTGAAAAGCAGTACACGGAAACTCGTTTGTGGAATAGGGTGTGGTGTTGTGTTTCCTTGAAGTCGGCTTCTTGGTGTATAATAGTCTAGATGCATGCTACAGAATTACGTGAGTTTCTAGGATAGTTGTTTGTATTATCGATGTAGCTTTCATATGAAAGATTGTAAAACTTGTACCTTTTGTATATACTACAAATGTTTAGGATGGAAATTATGCTTTAAATGTCTTGGTCTATTTTTTTGTCATTTCAAGTATGTCGATGATGGAATATATTGCAAGTATGTCGATTTTAAGTTGTATTTCATGCATTTTTACTATTGTTTCTGTATCATTTTATGTATATAACAACTAAATTACGCATGCATTTCATTACATATCGGGATTGTGCTTAAATTTGTGACGTGGATGTCAGTTACACAATACGTTTGTGTTAACTCCTAAAATGAAACTTTACTATATGAGAGATTGAGAGACCATATCTAGCAATGACGTGAAGTAATGCAAGCTTTTTTGATGTATCCATGTTGAGCCAACAATGGCAACAAGCTTTTTTCCCCCTGCTACTTGAGATGGATATATAAACGGCTAAATGCAATCAATGTATTGTTTCCAAGGCCATATGCCACTTGTTGAATTTAATCAAACACCACATTAGGAAATACATAACAATTGGTAAATCTTACCAACCAAAATGTATATATATACTATGTAATACATGTATTATAATTCTCCTTCGAGTTCGTAACTATATTCCGTTTCCCAAGTTACTTTATCTATTAATCAAACACCCCATTAGGAAGTACACAACAATAGAATGCCATAATATGATTGATTTCTGCCAAGTCTTCTATTGACCCCATGTTTTTCGTTTCATGTCTAAATTCTTCAATATTTATCCCAAATCCAATTACACAGTTGAAATATCAATCACATCTTCAACTGAAACAAGCAAAATATTTGTTTAGGCCATCTTAGTTCCACTTTCTAAATTCTAATTCCCAATTCAACTTCTTCTTTGATTTCATTTTCACTAATTTTGTCTTGAAACTTGCATCCATCATGATGTTTGATATCATGATAATGTTTCGGCTTACTCCATCGAAAGATATCAAAGAGAAAGAGGTTTATATCATCTGCTATCTCTTTTGTACTGTTTTCTAAGCCCGTAAAACATTTTCGTAAAATGTATAGTTGGTAGACTTTGTTTATGTTGCTAAATTAAGAGTGTTTATGCTAACTTTTTAAACATTTATACTAAGAACTTATAAACAATATTTTTAAGCTCCCAGAATCATTGATGTCGAACCTTTTTAATTCTTGTAGAATATATTTTATTTCTCCCGGTAAGATGAATTTCGAAGTTGGCCAATTCTTATAGAAGAGGCAAAACATCAAAGAATTTAGGTTTTTGAAGGGCGTAATACTATTTTGGTTCTAGTCTCTGGTAATGAACCAGTAAAACTCTAAAGCCTAAAGGTCTTTAATACACAAGTTCTATAACTTTCGATTAATACATTTATAGCTTACACTATATTTAGTTGATACCTATCTTTTTTTATTTATCTTACATTAATTAGACAATCTAGAATCTTTATTAAAAAAAGATTTGAAAATTTTATAGAGTTTCAAATACAGTACAAATAGATATCTATTATAATAGATTATAGATATATAAATAATAATATTAAATATGCTGTGTAAACCACTAAACCACTAAAACTCTAGACGTCTCTGTTAATACATAAATTTTCTAACTTTCAATCAATACTCTTCTAGCTTACACCATTTAGTTGATAGTTGATACCTATATTTTTTCATTTATCTTAAATCAATTAGACGATCTAGAATCATTATTAAAAAAAGATTTGAAATTTTTGAAGAGTTTCAAATACAATACAAATAGATATCTATTATAATAGATTACAGATATATTAATAATAATATTAGTTGTGTTGTGTAGTTAAAAACTAAAAATTAACGAGACTTATAAGTATTTTAAATAGCTGAAGGTTTATAAGATATATTTATAAGAGCATTGAGTACAAGCAATGTGTTATAACATTCATAAATTTTCATGTCATATTTTAAAAAAACAATTTAATTATAAAAACAAATATATATATATTTATATAACATAATATTTAAATAAAAACATAATAGATAAATAGTAAAAAAATAACATTTAAATTAGACATAACATCCAAATCTAAAAAGGAAAAAAACCATTATAATAATGAACATATTATCATCGTTATCGTGGACGAGTCGAATCCATAATTTTTTTTGAAGAATAAAATTAAAATTGTATAAAATATAAAGAAAAAGAAGAACTTTGTGAACACAATTATGATAGATAGTATGTATTTATAGATAAAAAAAAGTTAATTATTTTTTTTAAATAATGCCAATTGTAATTGTTAAAAAGGAATAACTAATTAGTTTTCTTGTTACCAAAGGGTCAATGGCCTAGTGGTAAGGAGTGATCCTCTCATAGGAGAGGTCATGGGTTCAAGTCTCGGAGGAAACATATGTGGTAATTAAGAGTAGATTAATTAGTTTATCTTTTAAAAAAAAAAAGAAAAAAAAAATCAGTTTTTTTGTTCGTTATTCATCACAACGAGATACACCATAACGACCCGTTAACGAGAAAGGGTGCTCATCACGTTTTAACATCAATTTGCGAGCCACATCAACCATAGAGGCTCCTTAATAATGCCAATTGTAATTTTTTTTTTAAATAATGCCAATTGAAATTGCGAGCCACGTCGATTTCCGAGATACCGAGTCCTCTGATATTTTATGCTCTTATAAAGGAGAGACGATATCGTCTGCCCTGGTTTTTACAAACATATACGAAAGAAATTGGACGGCTGAGATTTATTAGATCCATAAACAAGGTCAAAATTTCTTTAGATAGGCAAATTTTGCCCCTTCCCTCTTTCTGACGCCCAATTGCCCCTAACAAAATGTGTGATCTCTTTTAAGTCTTTTAACACAACCTTAAAATCCATTCATGGTGGAACTATTTCAATCTTTCCTTCAATTTTTTAAAGTTTCTTCTCATCAGCCGGTTTTTCAGATCTGTAAAACTTCGCTTTTGTTACTATTTATGGAAATGGCGACGATATCTTCAAGCCCACGCTCCGTCGAGGAGATCTTCAAGGATTACAGTGCTCGCCGCGCCGGTATTGTTCGAGCTCTCACTTATGGTACGTACTTATTAATTATTATCCTCCTTGGGCTATTTTTACTCTTTTTATTTTCACATTATAAACTTATTTTGAATTTTGTAACTTTTATTTGACTTCTTCTCTCTCGCTTGTTTTCAGATGTTGATGAATTTTACTCAAATTGCGATCCAGGTTACTTCACATACACACTCCCAGACTTTACTTTTATGATATGTAACCATCAATTTGGAAACATCGATTGCATGTTATCTACTTTTGATATTAACTTACTAGGCTAATAATTAACATCCATACACTGTCTTTGTAGAAACCGTGAACAAATAATTGGTTGAATGGTTGAGTTTGGTTTCAAATCAAATGTAAATCAATTTGGACGCTAGAAGTGATAAAAATTTGAAGCTTATGAAAATTATTCCTGTTCAATATGTGTAAGAAGTATAAATTTGGGATTAGAAATTACCAGTCTTTCTGCTCACCTTTCAATTTAAAGCATTAAATGCTATATCAAATACCCAATTGAAATCGATAGTAACCTTAATCATTTAATAAAAATACTATGATTTATAATTAACGATAATTTATTTGACAAATTTCATCATCTACAGAGAAGGAGAATTTATGTTTATATGGACATCCAAATGAGACATGGGAAGTAACAGTGCCAGCAGAGGAAGTCCCTCCAGAGCTTCCAGAACCTGCATTGGGGATTAATTTTGCAAGAGATGGAATGCACATACCAGATTGGTTGTCATTAATCGCTGTTCATACTGATTCTTGGTTTTGCTTTCTATTTTGTCGCTCGTCTTAACAGGAATGAAAGGTAACCAATAACCATATTTTCACTCATGTTCACATTTTACAAACTATAAATTCACATTTGTCTTAACATTTTGTAAAACCAATTTAAAAACAGAAAGCGTTTATTCAGCCTAATAAACGACCTACCCACTGTATTCGAAGTTGTAACAGAGCGAAAGCCCATCAAGGACAAACCAAACATGGATAGTGGTAACAAATCCAGGTTCAGCACAAAGGTAATATTACATTAATACCCCTCTCTCTCTCTCTCAGTTTCTTATCTCTTTTTAATATCTAAGATATACTTTTAGGTGTTGTTTGTTTTTTCTGGGACAAAATGTCTGCAGTCTGCGGACCACATCTGTAGACCTCTGCAGTAGAAGAGGTGGACCAAACGTCTGCAGTCTGAAAAAAGAAGACTGTTTGTTTTTTTAACATCTGCGGGCTATTAAAATAAACTGAAATCTAAATAAAATGATTTTTTAAAACTTCAAAGCGATTTTTTTATATATTTTTACGACTTTATTATAAATATATAACGAATCTAGATTAACTTTTATGTATTAAATGGTATTAATTCACATACATATTTGATTAAAACGAACAACTTTGATTGTAAAATTATAACTAAACATTATAATTAGTGATCAAAGAATTTGATACATAAATAGATGGAAATAAACTTCGATTTTTTCAATTAAAATCTGTTAAAAACGTACGATAAATATTTTCTCGAGAAACTGATGATACTCTATTAAATAAAGTTTTACAAAATTTTGGCAAAAAAATATAAGAATATATTATGATTTTTTGTTCATATTTATATAAACAACTTCAACGACTATTATTATAATAAATTTTTATTTATAGATTTGTTAAAAATATCATGTTTGTATCGTCAAATGTTTTTTTAAAGTTTTGTAATTTTTTTTTCAAATTGTTTATCATTAATAAAGTTGGAAAAAATATAAATTGAAAAAAAACTTAAAAAAATAAAGATATATATGTTTTTTTAGGCTAGAAGATGTCTGAAGATGTTAGAAGACTCTGGTCCACATCTGCGCCAAGAAGAGGGCGCGCAGACATTTTTAGGTCTGCAGTCTTCAAAAAAACAAACAGTCTGCGAAGACTAATGTCTGCGCGTGGTCTGCACGGCGCAGACAGAAGAGGTCTCGCAGATCTGCAGACAAAAAACAAACACTACCTTAATCTTCAGCGGTCAAACGATGGTCAACTAAAAACCTCTCAAACGCCTTACGATGATAATTACGTGGAAGAAGAAGATGAGCATGGAGAAACTTTTTGCGGGTGTTGTGGCGGGAATTGTTGGTATTTTTGCAGGGACAAAATGATCTTTTAACAAGACAATACACAGAGGACAGGATGGTGAGATGTGCAGGGGACGGTTTCAGTGAATCACAGGAAGGGTAAAAGTGGGAAAACAGTTTTAAAGAAAGCTGCAAAGTGGGCTGATGAATACAGAGAGCAAAGAAAAGTACATCAGATAATAGTAGGCAATGTGTTTCTTTATTCACTGAATAAGAAAAGGAACTTAAAGAGAGATACAAACAATCGTACACTTACCTATGCCTTTTAAACTAAAAATTTGCTGGAAAGTAGGAAACAACCTTGACTTCTTGCTAAAGACTAGGGACCACTTACTGGTCACTGTGACTTATTCTAAGCTAAATAAAACGTGCATGGATAAAAATTCTGAATTAGTCTCAACATTTCCCCTTTTAATTCTGAATCTTCATCACACCAACTAAGTCTCTCATTTCTTCATGCTTCACCCTTGCTAAGGACTTTGTAAGAATGTCTGCTTTCTGGCTTTTCCCACTCACATGTTTTACTGTGATTTCTCCATTTTCAACACAATCCCTGATGAAATGATACCTGATGTCGATATGTTTGCTTCGACCATGAAATACTGGGTTTTTCATTAGATCAAGAGCTGATTGATTGTCCACAAACAATGTCACAGGTGGTACCTTTTGACCTGTGATTTCAGTGAGAAGTCTTCTTAACCATATGCCCTAACACGCTGCCATAGTGGCAGCAATAAACTCAGCTTCACAAGATGAAAGTGCAACTACCCTTTGCTTTTGAGATGCCCATGTGACCAAGTTTCCATTTACATAAAACGCCATTCCCCCTGTGCTTCTTCTGTCATTTATATCTTTGGCCAGATCACTATCAGTATAGCCTGAAATATTGACCTTTTCTTCTTCTTTAGAATAGACTAAACCATGACTTAAGGTTCCTTTTACATATCTAAGGATTCCTTTTACAGCTTGGAGGTGTTTTATGGTGGGCTTCTCCATAAATCGACTAACTACGCCAACAACAAAGGTTATATCAGGTCTAGTGTGAGTGAGATACCTTAGGCAGCCAACAATGCTTCTGTACTCGGTTGGATTTACCAGCTCCTCATTTCCATCCTTGGTCAAAGGGAGTTTATGCTCCATTGGAGTTTTGGTAGGATTGCAGTCTATCATGCGAGTTTTGATCAGAATGTTCTTGGCATAACCTTCCTGTTTTAACGTGATTCCTTTGTCTTGTTGGTTTACTTCAATTCCCAGGTAGTATGACAGTAGACCAAGATCACTCATTTCGAATCTGGCCTTCATCTCCTTCTTGAACTCTTTTATGTTTTCTGGATTGCTACCTGTAACAAGTAAATCATCTACATATATTCCAATAATCAGACTGCTTCCATTCTTTGTTCTTGTATATACTGAATATTCTTGAGCACACCTTCTGAAACCCAAGCTCTTTAGATACTTGTCTAAGCACGAATTCCAAGCTCTGGGAGCTTGTTTCAAGCCATATAGGGCTTTAGAGAGCTTATACACCTTCCCAAGTTCATTTTTCTTCACGAAGCCTTCATGTTGCGAGACATAGACTTCTTCAGTTAGGTGCCCATTCAAGAATGCCGACTTCACGTCCAGATGATGTACACGCCACCCATTTGAGCTTGCGAGGGCCAAGATGACTCGGACTGTTTCAATTCTCGCCACCGGAGCGAACACCTCTTCATAGTCGATACCCTGTTTTTGTACGTATCCTTTAGCTACAATTCTGGCTTTGTGCGTCAGGATATTACCTTGTGGATCTCGCTTTACCTTGAATACCCACTTCAAGCCAATTGCTCTTCTTCCTTTTGGTAAATCGACCAGGTTCCAGGTATCATTCTTTTCAATTGAGGCCATTTCATCATTCATAGCCTGTACCCACTCCTTCTTTCGTCTTGCTTCGTCATAACTCGCAGGTTCTTCTTCGTTGCTTATCAACATGAGTTCCTCTGGTAGGAGTTCGATTTCATTGGTGTTTTCGTATAAATCGGACAGTAATCGGTATCGTTTTGGGGCACCGCCACCCGTGGAGCTTGAACCGGTACTTGGAGTCGCTACGTGGGTTGAAGAATTTTGTGTAGATGGAGGAATGGGTGTACCCGGCGGTGTGTTGATAGGTGTAGGGATTGGGCTTAAATTTGGTGTTGGATTTATGGGCTGAGTGGAGTCGGCCCAGATGTCATTATTATTGGGTTCCTCGATTTCACCCTCAACTGTATCCGACCTATTTACGTACTCGGATGTATCCGACACCCAATCGCCTTCGTCATTGTAATGCTCCTCACTGAAATCGAAGCCTTCGATGGTGAACGATATACCTAGTGTTGATTTGATCTTCAGTGATTTCTCCCATTCCCATCTCCGATTTTCCTCGAAGATAAGATCCCTGCTCACATATATCGCACCGGTATTGGGGTCTAGTAACCTGTGAGCCTTTGAGCCTTTCTCAGTGCCAAGATATACTACTTTCTTACTTCGATCTTCCAATTTCTTGAGATGATTCTTCGCTATTTTCATATGAGCAACACAGCCAAAGACTCTCAGATGACCTACGTGTGGTTTTCTTCCGGTCCATATTTCATACGGTGTGGTCCCATCTAGGGCCTTGGTGCTTAGACGATTTAATACATACACCGCATGACTCACCGCCTCACCCCACAGTGCGTCGGGTACCATCATCGCTTTCAAACAACTCCTGGCCATCTCTAGTACTGTCCGGTTTCGCCTCTCTACTACCCCATTTTGCTGTGGGGAGTAGGGTGCGGTGTATTGGCGTTCCAATCCAGTTTCACTACAATACTCTTCAAATTGCTTCGACAGGAACTCCCCTCCACGATCTGTTCTTAACATTTTTAACTTTTCACCGGTTTCATTCTCCACTTTGCTTCTGAAGTTCGTGAAGGTGCGAAAAGCTTCGTCTTTTGTTTTTATTAAGAATACCCACATCACCCTGCTGTAGTCATCAACTAACAGCATAAAATATTTGTTGCCTGCAGGTGTTGGTGGTGAGACTGGTCCACAAAGGTCGCCATAGACTAGTTCCAATTTTTTCTTAGCTTTGTAATTTGTGCTTGCTGGGAACGAGCTTCTTGATTGTTTTCCAACAAGACAGCCTTCACACGGTTTGGATGGTATGACCATCTTTGGCACTCCTTCAATTATTCCTTTTTCTGACATGGATTTCAAAGCAGTGAAGTTTACGTGACCTAGCCTGGTATGCCAAAGCCAGGTTGGGTCTTTGCTTTCACCAACTAGGCATCTTGAGCTGACTTCTCTGAGTTCTATCTTCTATTTCCAGTCATGTGGTTGCTGGCCCCTGTGTCCAGATACCACATATTTGAATCAGATGCACTATCTCCATTTGATCTCAGCATTGGGTTAGCATTCTCTTCATTCAAGAATACTTCCCCTGCTTCTTCTTTAGCTTCAAGGGATGACAGCAACAAAGCTGGTTCATTATCTTCCTGGATCAGATTGCTTTCATAATTTCTCTCTTTTCTTGGGTTCTTGCACTCAGCTGCATAGTGCCCGAACTCTTGACAATTGTAACATTGTATGTCACTTTTGTCTTGATTGTGGCCTCCATTTTGACTCCTTTCTTTCTGCTGGTGAGAGCCGCCTCTGCCACGGCCACCTCGACCACTACTTGGACCACCTCTTCCCCGGCCTCTTCCTCTTCCTCGTGAATACCCACCACGATTGCCTTTTGGGGCTGACTTAGAACTACCTTCACCCTTCTTGTTTCTTTCAGTCCACTCTTGGTGGGTTAATAGTAACTTTCTCTCCTCTGTATCACCATGTCCCTTCATTCTCTCTTCATGAGCTTTAAGCCTACCGATCACTTCTTCTACTGTCATTTCATCCAGGTCAGCAAACTGTTCAAGGGTTGAGGCTATCTGAAGGAATTTGGCTGGTACTGCCCTAAGTAGCTTCTTCACCACATAGGATTCATCTACAGTATCTCCCAAAGTACGCATGGTACTTACTATGTTTATCACTTTCACAGCGAACTCATCTACTCCTTC